TCCAGAATGGGGAAAAGGTTCCCAAAAGCCAGATAAGCTCCATGGATAGGTCCTGAGCACATCCCTAGGAGCCCTACAGAGAGAACAAGCCACACCACTGTCACATACATTCAGAGGACGTAGATCCATCCCATGGAAGCTTCCTAACTGATGATCCAGAGTGCATGAGCTCCCACTAGTTCAGGTGAGAAGTCTCTGTGTGATCTCCTCTGCCTCATAAATCCTTCTTCTCTGTCTTCAGCAAGACTCCTGTAACTCAACACAGTGCTTGGCTGTGTACCCCTGCATCTGCCTTCCTCAATTAGTGGATAGATTATCTCCAATGACAATTATGATAGTTGTGATTCTTATTACAGAAGATGGCCAGTTCACCACTATTGCTAGTGGTTTGAGCTAGGTTTATCCATGTGTATTCCTGTGCTTAGTGCCAGGCTTATCCAAATGCCCTCATTGAGATAATTCTTTTATTAGTGTCCACCTCCATACTATCTCCAACCCACCTCCTGCACTCAACCTGACCAACTCACTCATTCAAGTTCCCATCTTTCCATCCTCCCCTCCACCACCAGGTTACTCAGGAGAGCTCCTGTATTTCCCCTTCCCAGCAAAATACATGCATCTCTCTCTTTGGGTCTTCCTCGATATATAGCCTCTCTGGGTCAATGGTTTGTAGGTTAGTTACCTAAAATATATTCCTAATATGAAATTATGGTAGGTGCATACCATGACAGTCTGTCTGAGTCTGGGATACAGTGCTCATAATGATTTTTTTTTACAGGTCATCCATATCCCTTCAAATTTCCTGAGGTCATTGTAAAAATAGCTTAAGTTGACATGATAACAGCCATGTGAATCAATGGAATTGAATCAAAGACCCTGACATAAATCCACATACTTATGAATACTTGGTTTTGACAAAGAAGCCAAAATTATAGAATGGGGAAAAGAAAGAACCATCAACGAATGGTGGTTGAATAACTGTATCTTGATATATAGAAGAGTGCAAACAGATCCTTATCTATTGCCAAGCACAAAGCAAATCCAAGTACATCAAAGAAATCAGCATAAATCCAGTTACACTGATGCTGATAGAAGAGAGAGTAGGAAGCAGCCTTGAATGTATTGGCACAAGAAACTACTTCCCAAATATAACACTAGTAGAACAGACATCAATATCAATAATTAATACATAAGACCTCCTAAAAGTGCAAAGTTAAGGCAAAGAACATTGTCAATAAGACAAAACAGCAACCATCAGCAACCCGACATCTGACAGAGGGCTGATCTCCAAAATATATAAAGAACTCAAGAAATCAGATTTCAAAATACCAAATAATCCAACTAAACACTGGGGTACACATCCAAATAGAGAAGTCTAAGCAGAAAAAAACTCAAATCATTGAAAGACTTCAAGGGAATTTCTCATCATCCTCAGTCATCAGGGAAATGCCAAGCAAAATGACTCAGATACAATTTTACACATGACTGCATGGTTAAGATCAAAATTGTCAGTGACAGCTTATGTCGGAGAGGATGTGGAATAAGAGAACCACTCTCCACAAGTGGTTAGAAAACAAACATGTACAGCCACTTTGAAAATCATTATGGCATTTTCTTAGAAAATAGAGAATCAATTTAACTCAAGACGCAATGATACAACTCTTGGGCATATACCGAAAGGATGTTCAATCATATTACAAGGACACTTGCTCAACTAAGTTTATAGCAGCATATTTGTAATAGCCAGAACCTGGAAACAACCTAGTTGCCCATCCACCAAAAATTAGATAAGGAAAATGGGGTACACTTATACAATGGAGTATTACTCAGCTGTTAAACTGCTTTTCTTAACCAGTAGCCTGTGTCACAGTATATGTCTCCTCAAAAGAAAATCATGTGGTCCAGTTGTGTGACACTTTCTTGATTTACTTTTTATCTCTGTAGCCTTTGCTTTATTAGAGGCAGTGGCAACATTTTTTTTTACTTTTATTAATTTTTTCCACCAAACCATTTGCTAACATAATCCCTTACTCCATTTATGAAAGACCCTTAACCATCAAAATCCTACTTAAACTAGCATTCTTGTTATGAAAAATCATTGCTTTAGTGAAACAGTATAGCCTAGGAGGAAATCATCTTCCCCATAGCCCACAGGTAAAAATGTCCAGTAGAATGGGATCTCGCCATGAGATGAACACACTATATTACAGGCAGTGGGGGATATCCACACACCCATTCACACCATGCCAGATACCTGAGAAAGATGGCAGCAGCAACCATGCAAAGACGCCACAGTAGGAAGAGACGTTCTTGGGCTGATGCTCTCAGGGACGTGCCCATCTGAGATTCACTCATCTGGTTTTATCCCCTGGTGGGCTGATGCCCTGAAGTCAATTGCCATCGGCTGCTCCTCTGACATGGCCACTGGCAATCCACCATGACAGAGGGGAAGGCACACACATTCCATGGGGCTGAATCTATCCAACTCTGCCTGTAACAAACATACAAACATCCTTAAATATCAATTATTTGTCTTATACCTGTAGAATAAAGCTTTGGAAAAAGGAAAATGGGTATGAGTCAACTTTTTTTTAACCTTTTCATGTGATATATTAAAATAGAAACAAGCCAAATTTCTTCATCTAAAATAATTGTCATTCTCTGTGTTTTTCAGTCACACCTGAATCTCCTTTTATGATTATTGGTAATTCTGCTCAATAATCATATGCCCAACAGTGCTAGTCCAAGTAATGTTGAAGTCTACATTGATGTGGGATGTCCTTTTGTATGCTGTGAATATATGTTTTTCTTATTTTTGATGAATAAAGCTGTTGCAGCCAATGGACAGCAGGATGTAGCCAGGCAGGAAGTATAGGCTGGGCTACCAGACTAGGAGAAGTCTGGGAAATTGGAATGCAGAAAGTGGGTCTCAAAACAGACAACATGTAGCTACAAGGAAGGTAGGATGGCAGGACATTCTCAGATAAGCCAATGCCATGTGGAGATGCAAATATATGTATATATGTATATACATGTATACATATATAAATAATTAAGAGAGAGCTACCCAATAAAAACCATGAGCAATTTTGGCCAAACAGTTTATGATTAATACAAAAGCTTCTGTGTTGAAAAAAAGTGTGACTTGGCTGGACATAAATGTCCATACACAACACACAGCAATTTCCTGTGTCCAGTGAAACCCTGTATTCCACATTTTTGCACATGTGAGACATCTGAGCATCTTATATTATATACATAGTTTGAGTACCTCCATTACTTTTTCTAAAGCTGTGAAAGCCTAGGCTGAGAAACTGATGGTTGGACTGGATGACAAGTATCTCTAATATCTCTCTTTCCTTCTGGTTATTTCATCCACTCTGTAGACACTCCTGTCTACCTTAGACTGAGACACTGATGGTCTAGCCTGAGTGACAAGTGCTTCCGACACCTCTGCTTTTTCTGATTATTTCGTCCGCTCTGTAGATGCTCCTTCTATCATAGGCTGATTCATGCAAGGCAGATACACATTGCTTGATTCTTCAAATGCACTGTCAGCAGTGCCTTCACAGTCTAAGGCCAGCATATGTTCTCCATATTAATGTGCAATCTGACGTAGGAATGTGACACACACTAACTGTGCCCTGTGGGTTCTTCTTCCCACAATTCTGTTCTTTCTCATGACTGTCAATTATGCAAAACAGGACATCTGTGAGTTTTAGGATTCTCAGAAAAGCCACAGCCTTTGTGACTCAGCTTGGGTGCATGTGTGGTCTGGCCAGTCTCCAGTGTCACGTTTTCCTGCCTGCCCTGCCTGACAAACTAGTCAAGTTAGATGATGGATCTACTCTGTTGGCAAGGCTGAGGCTTTAGGGAGGGCTTAGCCATTGTTCCAGGAAGCAAAGGGTGGGGCCACAGCTGCTCTGCTAATGGCCCACTAGATGCCTCTATAAGTAGCTCTTAGAAAGCCCTGACAGCACAGTCCTGGTCTCCACACTGGAACAGAAGCTGCTGCACTCCAGGTAGGAGCAGAGACAAGCAAGGCACAGGGGCCTGCATCCTTCTGACTCATGCTCCACAGGCATCCTCTTAGCTTTGCTCTGCTTAACTGGTTACCTGGGGCTTCTCTTCTTTCTCTAGGTTTTGTTGTTCTTTGCTTTCTTTTTGTATGTTTTGGTTTTTTTTTTTTTACTTTGGTTTTTGTGGTTGTTGTTGTAAGATAATACTAGAATTACATCATTGCTTCCCCCTACCTTTCCTGATTCATACCTTCAGAGATATCCTTCCTGATTCTTTTTAAATATTAGGATCAATTAAAATTTTTTCATTATATTTATTGTTCTTTCAAGTAAGGGTTTGTTTGTAGGGAGGAAAGAAAAATCGAATTCAGTATAACTGAGCTAGACTGTGCTGCTGTTTCTTTCTCAAAGAAACGGATCAGGTTCTTAGGGAATCAGGTGGTGCTGCAGAAATCAGAGCGAGGTTTCACCCACGGCCTGTGACATTGAAGATCTGCATAATCCAACCTCACACAGGCTTCATAAACACGCCAGCATTAGACTGTAGTCACTGCGGGCTGTGCTCATGTTTCACCTTGCATCCTGCCTTTTCTTCTGTCTGCGTGTTAAGTGCCATGGGAGCTTCGCATTAATTGAGGAAGATTTGTGTTAGCCATTCCTAGTGGTAATGTGCTGGCAACTAACCACATTGCCAACTTTTAAGGATGAAGTATCAGATTAAATAAATATTATATTGATTGTATGTATGTGTATTTGTGCACACACATGTATGTCTGCATGAATGCATGTGTAATGTGCATGAAAATTTTTCAAAATAAGGAAAAATTCTGAACTCTTTCATTAGTTGTTGCTACATACACACACACACACACACACATTCTTAAATATAGCTTAGTAAGTATGCGTAATATGACTGGTGTGTATGTTTTAAGGGGTTACCACTGTTATTGGATGATTCATTGTTCCGTAGGTTCTGGATCCTGTCTTACTCCTTGAGAATGACCTCTACTGCTCCTTCACGTGATCCCAGTTTGGATGCTGAATGGGAGGAATGGAAGAAGAAATTTGGAAAATCCTACAGCCAGGTTGGTAACACGGACACTGTCCAGAGGGGTTTCAGGAAGAATGGCCCTGACTCTTGGGAGTCTGTAGCATAAATGTGGCCAGAGGACAGCCACAGCTGAGGACTTGCAAGAGGCACTGTGAACTTAGGTGGCCAGCCTTGCAGATCCTTTGCGTGTGGAGATGCCTGCCTGTAGTGTCCTGAGATCCCTCTCCAGGGACCATCTTTACCTGTCGCTACACTACCTCTGGTCACCTTGTGTGTGGAGTTAACACGAAGAAAACACTATCTGTTGTATTCATTTCCAGGATGAGGAAGGACGCAGAAGAGCATTGTGGGAGGAAAAGAAGAAAAAAATTGAGAAGCATAATGTGGAATATGAACAGGGCAAGGTCAGCTACTCCCTGGGCCTGAATCAATTTAGTGACATGGTGAGTGAGATATGATTAATTCTGGGTAAATTCCCTTAAGATCTTTATAGATAGTCTCTTAATTTTTTAATATTTTATTTTCTTTTGTATGAAGACGGATGAAGAATTCAGTAAAAATTGCTGTGGATTGTTAGTGCACACTGACGAGTCACCTAAATCTGAGAATTTGGAAAAGAACAGCTAAGTGACACCAGTGATGGATTAGGTATGACAATATTTCCTCCCTACCCTTCCCCGCCCACAGGAAGCCAAGAAGGAACTGATGTACTCACTGGCTTCAGCTATGGGACAACTGGCAGTTCACTGTTTGATTAAGTGTTCTGCTCTATAAAATGTGGGGAGAGATTATATTGGGATGATAACCTTTTCTTCTACATTGGGGTACTGTAGTTGGAAATCAAACATGGTGACCATGAAGGAAAAAGGCTCCAGGGAAGATATTGTGACAGAGTCACATGCTGCAGTCTTTCTGGTCAATGTGATGTTCATTTTTCTTCCAGCTGGACTAAGGGGGGGGGCAGCGTGATTGGGAGCAATAAGACAGTCTAGGAGTAATCAATCACTCTTTCATTGCCTCAGGAGCTTCTGCCCATGATGTGAGCTGCATGATGCTGAAGAGAATGGACTGGGGGAGAAGAAGGAACAGGAGGGGTCCTCTCCATCACATTGTGGAGTAAAGCGGTGAATTCACTTCATATCAACACTGGGATGCGAACTACCAGTCAAAGTATCACTAATAAAACACCACTTTTACAAAAGATGTCTGAAAATTCAAGTTTTCTTCTTGACTATTTTTGTTTCAGTAAGATTTTGTGTCATGAAAACATTCTGCTTGAAGGTGTGCCTGGCTGTGTGCTGGTGTTCTAGAATGAGGAGTGCATGGGTCTCTCATTAAAGACTCAGTTTCCCATTGCTGGTAGAGCTCTTTTTCCAGGGATTCTGGTGCCCATTTTTCCGCAAAGTCAGAAAGTCAACAAAGAATTTTCTGGGATTCTAATGTTTTAATTCACAAGAGTTGACCAAGTATAATTGGTCACTGGGAAGCATTCAGTGCCGGAATTTGCTGGTCATTGGCTTCTCATGTAAGTGACTTCTCCTCAAATAAAATATATAACCTATATTTAATCCTCGTCCTGTGTTTCATAATCTGTGCATTGTTAAGACACTTTGGGTAAAATTTGGCACTTTGGGATTTAAATGCATGTCCTTCTGTGCAGGAACCCTGGAGACTTACTTCCTTAGGGAGTAATTTTCCAGAACAACCTCAAGCTTCCACAATCAACTAATGTTGACTCTCCCATTTTAACAGACATGTGTTTGTGTCTGTAGGGGAGACACGCTCATTTCCAGGGTCTTTGTCTCAACATTGAACCTTACAAACACACCTGGATAGTTACAAAAGATAGAGAATTTATTAAATGAATAATAGCCAAGTGTTTGTAGGAGCATAAGCAAGCAGGCTAGAGGTATCCAGACATGTATCATCTGCTACCTTTCATATTAATGTTTGCAATTCCCACTCTACCCTGCTCCTGTTTGGTATCTCCCTGCCTCATCACCATCTAAATACAGACATGTGAGGCTGTGGGATGTAGTGGACACTCAAACAGCAGCAGTAAGCAACAGCAATACAACTGTTACAGTTTCTCTGTGTGATTGAAGATCATCAACTATGATTTCCCTCCTGTATACAGAACATATGTTTCTTACATATTATATATGTACACACTATAACTGAAGTATATGAGCAGCTGTTCATGCTGACTTCCCAAAGCTGTACTCCAGTCAGTCCACCTGCTCTCCTCATGGCAACAGGTCCATGCCAGAAAACCATGACATAAATATATCTCCCAAAATGGAAATCAACCCCTACATCTTGTCACATGATGCTTTGCACAGTAGACTGGACTCCAGCTACTGCCCAGCCTCCCGTTCTGCTGAAGGTATTTAATAACCTAATCTAACTTCTGGCCTAAGCATTGACTATCCGTCCTCATCAAATCCCTTTCTTGGTCTCCTAACCTTAGGATGCTTTTCTTTGATTTCAGGGTCCCCCTTCTCCTTCCATGACCCACCTGTGTCACCTGCCACACACACTCAAATCCAGTCCAACAAATCATAGCACCCATGCTATTTGTCTTTAACACCCTGGCTTCATTTTCTGAACACAATGATCTCCACTCCCATGTGTTTCCTACAAATGTCATCATGCCATTTTTGTTTATGTCTGAAAGAAGGTATACTGAATAAACACATTGTGTTTCCTGTATTCACTCATCACTTGGTGGATGTCTAGGCTGGTCACGTCTTAGCTGCTGTCAATGTGCAGCAGTGACCACAGGATATGGATGATTCAGGTGTGTTGACTTAGCATCTCATGGAATACTCAGCAGCAGTGTAAACAGCTGCGCTTCAGTTATAATTTTGTGTTGTACACTGAATTGACCTGACTGAATTGTGTCTGCAGTGGTCCACATCCCTATCCATAAGCAGTGCACACTTCCCCCATACTCCGACTCAGGTGGAGACTCAGAGCAGTTTGTGTTTGTATTTCCCATGTTGCTGATGACATTGCACTTCAACTTTTTTCTTAGCTATGGACAAACCAGTGATGGGGAGTCATTCTGTATGCTGTGAATGTATATTTTCCTTATCGGTTGATGAATAAAGCTGTTTTGGCCAATGTACATACAGGATTTAGCCAGGCAGGAATCTGAACAGGGATAGAGAAAGGTAGTCGGTGGAGTCAGGGTGATTCCATGTAGTTGTCAAGGAAGAAAGAGGCCTGGGCATCATTGATAAACCCAGGCCACTGGAGATACACAGATTAATAGAAGTGGGTTAATAATTAAGAGACAGTTAGCCAATAAGAAGCCTGAGCCATAGGCTAAACAGTTTATAGATAATATAAGCCTCTGTGTGTTTATTTAGGACTAGTTGGCTGTACTAACTTCCATCTACAAACTTTCTTAAATAATTCATGTGATCACTGGCTGCTTTTAAAGCTATGATTTTTCTTTAATTTTTTTTTAGATTATAATATAGATATACCGTTTCCCTATCCCCTCTGTTCCTTCAAATATTCCTTCCATTCCTTCAAATTTTCCCATATAAAGTTCATGCTCTTAGAAAGTTATCACCTCTTTTTAAAATCTGTGTTACATGTAACAACATACATTTGTGTGTATTCATAAATACATAAATGAAACCTCCTTACTCTATGTAATGTTACTTTTATGTTTGTTTTCAGGGCTGGCCATTTTTAATTAAATAATTAATCGGTATGGTTCCCAGGGGTAAGAATGTATTTCCTATTCACAGCATGCATTTGTTTCCTGTAATACTCTGTGTAATGTTGAAACAACATTGGCTTTCTTTATTTTTTCTCTGTATAGCTTTGGAGCCTGGCCTGGAACTCACTCTGTAGACCAGGCTGGCCTCCAACTTACAGAGATCCGCCTGCCTCTTCCTCCCGAGTGCTGGGATTAAAGGCATGCACAGCCAACACCTGCCTTATCATTGGCATTTCTGTGTTTTCTTTGGCATGTCATTTATGTTGTACTTGTTCAGCGTGGGTAGTCATGTTGATGTGACCTTCTAGGTAACATCTGACATTTCTAGAAGAAACAATCCCAGATAAAATTCTCTGTTCCTCTATCTCTTACATTCTTTCAATCAACTGTTTTGCAATGGTCCCTGCTCCTTATGCATGGGTGTTGTTCTGTAGGTGTACCAGCTGAAACTGAGCTTCAAAACTCCACACATTGGTTTTTGCTTTCTATACTGGTCTTCATGGTTTGCAAACAGAAGTTTTCTTGATGATGGATGAAGAAATGCAGTTTTCTGTTGGTATAAAGATAATTATTTAAAATATAGCTAGGGCTTATGATGGCTTGGTAAATTGTGATTGTATATTCTTCTGAAGGACCCATGACTTCACTAGCCCTAGTCAGTTGACGAGGTTTTTGGTACCAGATATAGTTTCCTTCGTGTTGAGTATATCTCAGTTTCAACTAGGAAAAAGTTGGGTGCCCCCAATATGTGTGTGTAGCTACTGCATCATTAGGGTGTGATAGCTGTGTAAGACTGTTTGTTGATTCCCTCATTTGGAAGCTTGCATGTTGCCTTCGGGTGCTATGAAAGCTAGTGCTCAGAGAGGTGGCCCTCTGATCAGTTCTAGGACAGGAGCCGTGGGGCTTTTTGTCTAAAGTGCATGGTGTCTTTATAATATTCTGTAACATGAAAAGTAAGTGACCCAGGGACTGATATTTGGGTTCAATCTTCAAGCAGAAGATCAATCAATAAATAAATAAATAAAGTAGTGAGTCACTAGCTCTTACCACTATCTCGGGCTCAATGGGCTGATCCTGCTGCCTCTCCTCAGCATGGCTATAGAATGCTGAGACTGAATGTCTTCCTATCCTCAATGTGACTGGAGATTGAATCCTGATACTGAGACCTTGCGCCTGTCTTATACACCTCCCTAATGCTGGGATTAAAGACGTGTGATCCCAGGTGCTGAGATCATCTTCTTCTCTTTAGGACTGGATCAATTTTGTGTAGATCCAGGTGTCCTTGAACTCACAGATATCTGAGTACCTCTTTATCCTAAATCCTAAGATTAAAGGTGTGTACCAACACCTCCTAGCTTCTGGCTGCTGGGATTAAAAGTGTGTGCCTGGCTTCTAAGGCTTGTGGCTGACTTTGCTTTCTGAATCTTCAGGCAAGATTTAATAAATAATAAATAATATATCACTACAATATTCACCTTTAAAAAACAAAATCATAAACTTTTAAATAAATAAATAGAAAAGATCATATTAAGCGGGGGTAACCTAGACCCAGAAAGATAGATGCTACATTATGTCTCTTATCAAAGGTTCATAGCTATAAATCTTCAGATGTTTGTATATAACCTGGGGTGGCTATAGGGACTAGGAAAATAGAAAGTGACCATTGCCGTGTGGGGCTTGGGGGAGTAATAAAGAGGAGAAAAGTAGGGGACCGATCAGTATCTCCAGATTAGTATCTGAAGGGGGAAGTGGAAAAAGAGGTAGGTATAATTAGGGAGGGAGAGGGAGATAAATAGTGAAGGAGGGAGAAAGATAAAACAATGTTAAGGATATCTGAAAAAACTCAAAAAACCATGCTGTTAACCATCACCTTAAAATAACCATGATACACCTAAGTTAGTGTATAAATGTAAAGTTTAAGTAAAACATTCCAATCTGGGCTGATAACTCCTTCCAAGAGTCCAGAGAGTCTAACAAAATCCCCAACATCAGGTTGAGAAGCCATCTTGGGAGTTGTTGAACAGAGTGGTCCAAAAGACTCCAAAACATCACAGGCTGTTGCTCTTGCTTTGGCTGCCCTCCAGAGGTGAAAAGAAGCCAAGGTTTGAGCAGCTGATTCTCTGGAAGCTTAGTTCTTGAAGTTGTTTATATATTCTAGAATATCAATCTTCTGTTTTAGATTTGCGGTCAAAATATTCTCCCATTCTGTATGCTGTGTCTTCAGTCTGCTGATTGTTTTCTTGATGGTGCAGAAGCTCATTAATTTTTTTTACAATCAATTGTGGCCTTTCCTGAAATGATATCCTATGTTACTATCCCTTTCAGACAGTTCTATTGATCTAGTGACATGTTTTCTTGTATTATCCTTCAGTAGTTTCAAAGTCTTAGCTATTTACATTTGATCCTGTTAAAGTAACATTTTACTAAGCACTGAGAGTATGTGTATACTGAAATAGTCTTTGTCAGCTCCATGTAGATATCCATTTTCCCTAGCACCAATTGTTGAAGAAGTTGTCAATTGTTAATACTTGTCATATATATATATATATATATATATATATATATATATATATATATAAACATTAGGGGATTTCGGTTGTATATATTTACTTCCTAGTTTTGAATTTCATTCCATAGATTTGCATGACATTCACTATGATACCATGCTGATTTTGTCATTGTGACTCTATAATGTAATGTGACATTACTTATTGTGATACTTTATGATTATTCTGTCTAGCACTTTTTGAACCAATTTTATTTTGCTTCCAAAAATTAATTTAGAATTGAGACTTGAGGGTTTCAGAAGACTGTCACTAGAATTTTTGTGAGACCTCTGCTAAACTTCTGGTAGCATTTAGTAACATAGTCAAATGTACAAAAATCTGCCTACTGTTGACCATGGGGCTCTTTTCCATCTTCAAGATTCTCATGAATTTTTTCTTAGCTGTCTTGACATTTTTGTTAAAGAGGTCTTTTACTACATTAAGTGGGTGTTGTAGTGGTTGTTATTGTCTTTGCAATTTTGCTGGACATGTAGAATACTATTCATATTTTGAGTGTCATACTTTGATAGCTTTATATGTATATAATGTATTTAGTCATCGTCATCCCTCATTAAACTTTACTGCCTTCCACTGTTTATCCGAACATATCTCACTTCTACCTTAATAACTCTTTTGCGTGTGGGCCCAGTGGGTTTAATTATGATTGCTTACATGTGCCTAGGTGGGAGTTTTACTTACTAAAATGCACACTGCTTAGTAAACGATTTAGATTTTGAAAGAATCACATTCCTCACTTTAAGGCTTTTCAACAGCCCTTGCTGCTATGTAGAATGCTCTGCCATTTGTGCTATTTACTTAACCCAATCAATTTAACCTGAGTTCTCAGTAACAGGAATGCTGTCTGGAGTTTGTGGAAGGACCCATAAGTGGTCTCCAGCAGAGGCCCTTGATATCTGTGAAAACACACACACACATACAAAACAAACATACATACAAACAAAACAAAACAGTGTATTAAAATGATAAGAAGAAATTCTGCAAGACGTGAAAGTAGAAATAGAATCACTAAGAAAAACCCCAAACGAGGTAAAACAGTCAGTGAAGAATCTTTGGAAATCAAACAAATCCCTCACAGGTTAAGTTCCAGCAACAGAGTAAAAGACGAGGAAGGGAGATTCTCAGGCAGTGAAGATGGTAGAAGAAAACATTTAACCTAAACACATTGAGGCAAAAAATATCTAAGCAATGTGGGAATCTTTTAAAAAGAAATCTTTGAGTAATAGGGACAGAGGAAGGAGGAGAAACCCAAGTCAAAAGCACAGAAAAGGTTTTAATAAAGGCAAAGAAGAAAATTTCCATATCCCAAAGAAGGGGGTTCCTATAAAAATACAGGAACCTCATAGAACAACAAAAAGACAGGACCAGAGTATAAATCCTCCAAGACACATAATGATCAAAACAGTGAACATACAGAGCAAAGGAAGACATCAAAAGAGGCCAGGGGAAAAGACCAAGTACCATGTGAAGGTGGACCACTGGCATAACACTCAACGTCTCAATGGAGACTCAGTGACACGGAAGGGACTGGAAAAATGTTCAGATTCTAGGAGACCACGGGTGTCAGCACAGACAACTACATCCAGCTACACTTTAAATCATTACACGATGAAGCCAAATTTAAGCACGATCTACCTACAAATCTAGCTCTACAGAAGGCACTGGTAGAAGATGAATTTAACTAGGCTTAAATACTCACCAACTACTGGTGTGAAAAGGACAGATTTTATTCCTCTTTACCCTTCGCTCCACAAGCCAAAAGCCATGCTACAGTTAAGGCAAAGTTTGTGTAAGAGAACTATGCTCCAGTCTTTACTCAATATCATTCATATTTTAAACACAAGTACAGGACAGTAAGCAAAGATTATACCATGACTACTTTCCCAAGCACAAGTACACTGCAAACATGCCGATTGCTTTCATTTTGTTTGGAATGGTGAACTGAAATTTGTTTCTATTTTCTGTATATTTCAATTTCCTTTGCAGTCCACCTTGATGGAGGAGGAAGGCATATACTTTCTATAGGGCTGTATCTACCCAATTCTGCCTGTAACAAACACACAAACATCCTTACATATCAATTATCTGCCTGGCAAATGCACAGTAAAACTCTGAAACACTCAAAGGAAAATGGGCGTGAATCCATTTCTTTCTTTTCTTTTTTTTTTTTTTTTACCTTTTAGTGTGGCATATTAAAACAGAAACAAATTTCAGATCTCTTTGCATGCAGTGATTTACATTCTGTGCTTTTCAGTCACACTCGTATCCTCTTCTCAGACTTTGGTTACATCTTCTTCGCAATCATATGTCCGTGAAGCCGTGTTCCTGTGGCCAGGGAAACCCTGTAGGCCACCTCTGTGCACACATGAGGCACCTTCTAAACTCACATGATCTTTATCCATGCTGAGAATGCCTGGGCTGAGACCCTGATGGCCAGGATGAGTGAACAGTGATCGGTGTCCCTAACATCTCTGGCTTGGGGTGGTTACTCCATCCACTCTGTAGACACTCCTGTCTGTCATAGGCTGAGACACCGAGGGTCTAGTCTGAGTGACAAGTTCTTCTGACACCTGTTTCCTGCTGGTTATTTCATGCTCTCTGTAGATGCTCCCGGGTTTCCAGCAAGGCAGCCACATTCCTTTATTCTTCGGATATGCTGTCAGCAGGGACTTCACAGTTCTTAGGCCTGTGCTCTCTACAGATACATCATCCGAGGTAGGACTGTGGGACACACCAGCTGTACCCACTGGTGTCATCCTGACATGACTTTGCTGTCCCTGAAGTTATCCTTTGACAGAATACTTTGTGAGTCTTAGAATTCTCAGAATAGTTACATCCTATAAAACGCAGCTTGGGCCTGGGGTCTAGTTTGTCTCCTGAGCCTTATGTTTTAACTCTGTGGTCCACATGTGCTAGCTGAGCTTGCACGTGATGCCAGATGGTGGGCCAAGGCCTCCAGGTAGGGAAAGCCACCACCTGGAAGGGATTGGATTGGAGGTGGGGCTGAGCCTGTGCCCTGGGGGCCTCCTCTGTATTTAAGCAGCTCCTAGACAGCCGAGGACAATGCAGTACTGGCCTAAGCCACTACTCTGGAAGCTACAGGTTTCAGGCAAGAAGTAGACACCAGCCAAGGTGCACAGGGCATGAAATCCAGGTGACTGATGCTGCAGAAAACATCCCGAAAGCTTTGGTATGGCTAACCCTCGACTTCTTTCTCTAGGGTTTTGATACCTGACTCCTGTTGTTTCCCCAACCACCCTTTGCTTGTAAATGGCTTCGGCTTCTCCATCACCTGATCCCAGTTTGGATTCTGAATGGCAGGAGTGGAAGAGGAAACACGGGAAAACTTACAGCCAGGTTGGTATCATAATAGTAATCCATGAGGGTCTCAGAGAGAATGATATCAAATGCAAGGAGCTGGGGGATCATTAAAAGTGGGCACAGAGATCAGCCATCACCAAGGAACTGCCTAAAGGCATGTGCTACGAACACAAGTCTATGGGTGTTGGCAATCCTCTGGGTGTGGAGGACGCAGTGTCCTGAGAGCCCTGGCCCATGGATACTCTTTACCTGTCACTGCATGTCACTTGGCCAGCCAGTGAGGAGGTCAACATGGAAGAACTTCCCTCTGTTGTGTTTATTTCCAGGACGAAGAAGGGCACAGAAGAACGGTGTGGGAGAGAAATAAGAAGGAGATAGAGGAGCACAATGCTGAGTATGAGGAGGGCACAGCCGGCTTCTGCATGGGCCTGAATGAATTCAGTGACTTGGTGAGTGACCTGTGAATTGTCACCTCTGTGCATTTTTCTCTTCACACTCTTCTGGTGTCTGCTGGGTTTCAATGTCTTATTTGCTTCCCCATGAAGACTAATGATGAATTCTGGGAAATGATGACTTGCTCTTCAGACTCTGTATTGGAAGACCAGGAGATAATGAGCATGCATCATCTCTTCAGTGATATCCCAGAATTTGAGAATTTGACAGAGGGCAACAATGTGACACCTGAGAAGGATCAGGTATGACAGTGTCACATCCACACTGAAGTCTTCACTTATGTCACCCGTGGGCAGATACACAGTTCCTTGTTTGACAAAGCGTGCATCTCTGAATGGCGGCTAGAGTTGATATTTGGTTATGGGTGACAATATTTTCTTCCAGCTCACGGTAGACGTTCTGTTAGTTTGGTTGGAACGTGGCTGGTGAACTTTAAGGGCAGAAGTCCCGGGGTGAATATTGTGACAAAACCACTGTGTTGCATTCTTTCTAGTCAATGCAGCATTATTTTTCTTCCAGCCAGAATAACAGTTGGCACTTGGATGGCAACACACAAGATAGCCAAGGAGCGAAGTCCCATTGCCTCAGGACCATTCTGCCCCCAAGGTGTGAGCTGCATGATGGTGACAAGGATAGACTAGAGGAAAAGAGGAAATAGCAGGGGCCTCCCTATTATAATGGCCAGTCCATACTGTGAGGGATCCGACACTCGAGGACGTCAAGGTCCACACCGTTACGTGAACTCCGTGCTGTGTTCAAACCCTACCAATATTTTATTACATGCTCTGAAGTCATTCATTGTTATTGATTCTCACGAGGATCTTTAAATTTTGATTTAATAAAAAGAACATGCACCGTGTTGTCTTAAAAATAAAGCTTAGTCTTAAATGTAGTATTCTGCTTTCTTTCTGGTTTTGTTTCACTAAGTTTTTATGTGCTCAAACAAACGATTCTGCTCGGTGGTACACCTGGCTGTGGAAATGGCATTCTGGGAGGCAGTGTCGGTGGCTCTTTTCCGTACAGGCTCAGTATTCCACCACTGGTCGAGCTTCCAGGGTTTTAGTTACTCTCTTTTAGCAATGATCCGAACGTCTACTTGAAAATTTCTGCAACTCGGTGGTTTTAACTCACGTGAATTTGACGAGTGAAAATTGTTTGTCGTTCAGTGCAGAGAGAAGAAGGCACCTCCCCCCATTCCACAACACTTGCACCTGTGCCGTGAATCTCTTTTCTAGTGAACAGATCAGAAGTATGTTCTAGCTGCACTGTGGCCTTAGGAGAAGACATCTAGGGAATAATGTCAGTGGTCACAAGAGTGTAGGTCATGCTCAAGTGGCCCTTTCATAACCCAGCACAGCCCAGGCATGGCAGAAGTTCATAGCTATGTCAGGATGCAAAGTAGGTCTTTTATGTTTGCATGTAAATTTTAGAGACATTGTATTAGCTAGATGGCTTTTGGTAGTCTATTTTTACACTGTCACACCAATCTATGGGCATCGGTCACCTTTCTAGTTTCAAGCTTCTTCATCCTTTATTTCTTTGTTGTCTTAATGTTTTCATTGCAGAGGTCCTTTATCATCTTTGTTATGTGTATTCCTAGGTATTTTTAAAAACTTTGTGAATTGAATTTTTTTTCTGACTTCCTTCTCTTTAAGTTTATGTTCGGCATACAGAAAGCTGTTCATATTTAATATTTTTTATTCTTTGACAGTTTTGTACATGCATAACCAATTTATGCCATTTCTGTCCCCATTGTACTTTCTTACCTCCTGCCTGCCACTTAAATTGATTTTCTCCAACAAATACCCCTTCTGTCTCAATGACCTTTCTCAGTGAGTAGCTCACTCAGTTTACTTTGGGTGGCTTGCGCATGTCTGGGTAGGAAGTCCATTGACTAAGATGCACAGAGCTTAGTGGCCTGATTGGGTTTTGAAAGCAGCACATTCCTCCCTCGAATGTGTTCCTCTAACTCATATAGCAAGTGAACCTTAAAGCTGCTAGTTTTGAGTGGGGTCGGAACAAAACAGGGGCTTCCGATGGGTCCAGGCTTCTGTGTAGAATGTTCCGCCACTTCATTCATGCAATCTAGCACACTTATTGAACTCCAGGTCTCAGTGGCACATAAGAATGCTGTTTGGAGTCTGCGGCAGACTCCATTGGTGACTTTCAGGATAGGCCCTGGAGAATTTGGAGCAGGGTCCTACAATCCTCTTTAGAGAACTTCCCTCCTCTGAAAAACAACTATGCGTTTGTTATGGGGCCATGAGCCTTCATGGACACTGGATACTTGTCAGTGGGGCACCAAGTTTCCATGCGATCTCAGCAGTACTTTGTGCTCACTAAGCCATGAAATGAGGCATTCGTGGATGCAATCTTTCATCAAATGGCTGTGATACATGTGGTTGAGAAGGTCCTGAGGGGACAAGCAATTTTCATGAAGAAATTATCCAAATGCCTATGGTTCCTAGATCTGTAGCAATGCCTTTCTATCCCAAGTATGTACCTATGGCCTCATAAGTGTGCTTTAGGAGTGACTGAGAGAGAGGTGAGTGTGTGGCGCTGTGGTTCTCACACTAAAGAACCACCCAGGAGGGTACATCATATCATTAGAGCCCCTTGCTGGGGCAACGATGAAAACACTGGAGGAGGGACACCGTCACAATGGGCAGAACTGGGCAAAGCATGCGGTCAGGTCATATATTTTGCTTGGGAGAAATGACCAGATGCTCAACTCTGTTCTAATTTGTGGGCCATAGCCAATGGTGTAGCCATACGTCAGAGACTAGGAAGAATGAATGGAAAATGGGTGAGAAAGGAGTTAGGAGAACAGGTACTGTTACAGGAGTAGCTGAGGCCCATTAAGGGAAAATTATTTTCTTCAGATCCAAACAATAGGACATCTGGTGTGGTTGGACCAAGATGTTCAATGTGATACCTGTCTAAGGGGTCATCCCCAAGGCAGACAGGTCTACCCCTCTGGAAGGCAGTTGAGATGTCTCTTCTGAGTTTGAGGTTGATGGTCTACCTATTGATCATTCTAACTGTGAAGGCATTAATTAGCCTTTGCTACTCAATCATGAAACAACCTGCTCTACAAGCAACAACATAAAACCATACAACACGTAGAAATGCACTTAAAGCAATTGCTTCTATAATGAAAATATAACAGCAAATGACAAAACAATATGCTAATGTGTGATGAAGTTAAACTATACTTAGGGTAATATGGTATAGACTATGAATAAGATGAGTAAATTATACAGGGAAAGATGGGGAGAGAGAGTCAGGTTCAACAGATGAAAGAGGAATTAGAAGATTAGAAAAGACATTATGGATGGAAGAAAGAGGTGAAATGCATTTGAAAAATAAAAGCAAAAATTTAAAAAAGTAAAACCAAAAGGAAGCTGATTTTGGGGAAGAGCATTATATAAATACATCAAATTATAAAATGGGGGGGGGGGGAATGAAACACAGCACCCTCTCTCCAGAGTGTCTGGGCTATACAGTTCCCAGAACCAAGTCAGACACGTGGCTTCCTTAGGTTCAACCCCAGTCACCCTGAGCACAGATGCTCTGAAGTCACACAGTAGAGAAATGAGGAATCCAAAATTCTCTTCCTAAGGACCAGGTATTGTGGCCTCCAATCTTTCATCGAGATTCCTCCCATTACCATAAAAAGTTACTTAGAAACTGCCATGAAGGTTTGCCCCCCTTAATGATGGATGTATTTTGTCACAGATGGTGAATTCAGCTGAAACATACTTTTGGTAACTGTCTTTACTAGCCAGTTTCCACAGCAGAGCCAGCAGAAGCATATAAACAAACAGAAGTCTTGTGACTGATCTCAAAGCTTCCCACACACACACACACATACACACACACACACACACACACACACACACACACGCACACATACATACACACACACAAACACACACGCACGCATGAGCACAACACATACTCACACACACGAGTACACACACACACACAAGAACACATGAGCGTGCACACACATGAGCACACACACAAGCGTGCGTGCGCACGCGCACACACAAACACACACACACACACACGAGCACATGTGCACTTGCACTCACACAAATGCACACACACCGCCTGAATTTAAACTTGTGCTCACAGAAGTTGAGCTCAAAACTAATGGACAAGAAGCAGTCTCCTTATTTCAAATATGGTGTGACATATTTGTTAAGGTACACATGTTAGTGTCAATATAGAAATGTGTGTCAAATGGGGCTCAGGTTAATACACCTCCCCTTTTATAGAGCTATCCGTGGACTATAAATCCCCTTTATGTATCACAGAAAGCCCCAACATCAACAAATGCAGGCAGTTTCAGGGGAGTGGGACCACCCGAGAGGATATAACCACAGACTCTTGTGACATTAGCACTTCACAGCACTTCTGTGTAGACCCAGTTGTTTTGAAGCACTTAGCATATGGGACAGGGAGCATTTGTGTTACTTCTCTGGATCAAGTGGCCTTAATGTATATAATCACAATCTCTATCAGGGTTCCAGCCATACGTTTAGGTTTATTAATCATTACAAACACAGACTAATAGT